ATAAAATCAAACATATTCTGCCTGCAGGTTTCTACGTTTTAAGTTAATTTAGGCATTAATAAACAGTTTCAGAGGAGTGATCACAGCGCTCTGCATCAGCAGTGCTGTGTCTGACTCCCTGCCAGTTTTTTAACTTGTAAAATATGTCAGATTAATTATGAGCTTATTATATGTTAATGTCTAATTGACCTAAATGTTTTAAGAACACTTTTGTATTTTATCACATAGACCCGAGTTAGATGAGGAACCAGCTTGGTGGAAACTGATCATGATCCTGATTTTAGAGATCAGTGGTTTTAGATGCAGGCTAATTTATCTCTTGGCTGAATCAATTATTCGATTATTAAAATAATCATCAGTTAATTAGGTAATCAATTGAGTATAGAGACTGTGAAACATGCCTTTAGCAGACAGGGTGGCCCACTTAAAGCAGCAATTATACCAACATTGTAAAAAAAAAAAAATATGTAAACATTTTGTATTTAAGATGATCTTTTTCTTCTGTCAATCTGCTCTATAATCCAAAAATCCTGAAGTGGAAAAGCTTCAGTTTCACCTGGTTTATTTGAGTAAAAAAGTATTCTTTAAAGAACCTTTAGCTATCTGATTATTAATTATCAATTTGCAAAGTAATCGTTAGTTGCAGCCCTAATCAAAATCGATTTCCGATGTTAATATCAGAATTGAACAAAACTAAAATAAACTTGTGTTACTTTTGAAAGCCCTCTAGAGATGCTTTTAATGATCAACAGGTTGTTTTAAGACTTTTGTTTGTTTACAGAACAAACGCAACTCTTCAGAGAAACGTGGGGGAAAAAAGGCTATAAAAACAACAAAAAGAAAAAGGTCGCAGGTTTGATTCCCGGTCCTGTTTCCTCTGAGCTGGACTCCACTCCAGAACCTTTTGTAGTTCTGGAAGGCGTAACTTCGCTCCCTCCCTCCATAAACCTGCTTATTTATTTTACTCTATTGTGACTTCTGTGAATGCAGCGTAAAATCCGATCATTTCTGTTCCGGTAATGTTGTTATGAGGAGCAGGAAGCAGAGTAATCGGCCCGCAGCTGTGATCAGGCAGCAGCAGTCATGCTGGCAGCAGTAATGAGGCTACAGCTAGCCTCCAGCTAGCAGCATGCTAGCTAGCCGCTGCTAACTTCTGCCGCCGGTTCTCCGTTAGCCACGAAAATGACCAAAGCCTCCAGAGACGTTTATTACACTGCTGCTCTCCGCTGAACCGGACGGACCCCCTTCAAACATTTTAGCCTGAATTTAAACAGTTAACCCCACAAACCTGCGTGTCCGCCGCCATCATGCCGGTCTTGTTGCAGGAAGGACTTGTAGACGTCACTTCCGGGTCAAAACTGCCACCGCTCCCCTTTTCCGCTGTTTTTTTTTTTTGTTTTTTTTTGGTCCAGTTTCACGTTTTCATAACCTAAAGTTGTGGCATGAGGAGCAGATCTTCTGTGTTTATATATTATACGGACATTTTATTTTTTTTAATCTATTTTATTTTAATAGTGATGAGTTAATGAGGCATCTGCCTTACAGAATACTGACACCTGCTGGCCATTTATAGACACTACAGGCAGTTTACTTGATATGATGACCTAGTAAAATGACATAATTTAAATTATTGTAGGTTATATTTTATTATTTCATATCTATTTTTAAATTAAAAATATATTTATTTTTAGATGCATTCTATAAATAATGTAAACATTTATCATAACGTCAAAATTTATGGGAAAATGTGAATGAGGATGCTGGGGGACTAGGATTTTAAATCATTTTTTTTTTAAACAATAAGTACAGTAAAAACATTAAATAAACTAAGAGTCAATTTGAAATTAACTTTAATTCAGATAATTAAAATAAAAAAATGCAATGGCTGAAACGTTCCTATTCCTTTTAGGCTGCTCCAAAATTCTTGATCATTTTAATGATAAACTACAAAGATGAGACATTTTTCTTTTAGCAGATGCATCATGTTGACATTTACGTTTTTAAACACAGTTTAGTACGGAAGAGGATTAGGGCCACTGGGAAAAAAATGTTAACTGATTTTTAAATTTTATTTAAGTTTAACATCTCAGAATTCTGACTTTTTTCTCAGAATTCTGAGATTAAAGTCAGAATTCTGAGAAAAAAGTCAGAATTCGGACTTTTTTCCCATATTGAACTGAAATAAAATTTAAAAATCAGTCAACTTTTTTTTTTTTTTTATTGGCTCTAATCCTCTTCCGTAGGTTTAGTGTGTCAGTCAGTTAGAAAATACGATACCAAGTAATTACAGGGTCAGTATTGCCAATATTGATAAGATCCGATACTTTTTACATTTAAAGTTGATGTATCGTGGGACTGTTGACCTTTCATGTTTTTGTGATCTTTACTCACTTGTTACAGTTGAATAATAATATTAATAATGTTCTGTTCATAGTGTTTTTTCCCTAATCTACCACCTATATATTTCGATCCTTATGTAATTTTGTTTCTATTGTACACACTTGCTTGTTGCTTTAATTCTCTATTTCCCTGGATTAGTTAATGTTAGCCCACTTAGATAAC